TCAAATAAAAAGTAATGAAGAAAAGTGAAAAGAGCCCTAGGAGATCTATGGTGTGCTATAAAAGAAACCAACAAATACACTGTGAAGTCCCAGAAGGAAAATAAAGAGGATGGGTAGAAAGACTATTTGAAGAAATAACGGCCAAAAGCTCCCCAAATTTGATTTAAAAAGTAATAAATGCCAATGGTCCCAACTAAGGATGGTTACACGTACAATTTTCAACTTTACAATGGTATGAAAATAGCATGTATTCAGTAGAAATCTACTTTAAATTTTGAATTTTGATCTTCTCCAAAGGCTAGTGACATGTGCTACAGCACTTTCTGAATACTCGCCAACAGCGACTAGCCACAGCCCCCAGTCAGCCACATGATCACAAGGGTAAACAACTGATATTCTACAGCACACTGGTATACTAAACCAGAATGCTTAGCAGGTAAGGTGTGTTGAACGCATTTTTGACTAATTTTACTTTCAGCTTATGATGTACTTTTCAGGACAAAACCAAAAGATAAATCAAGAAGCACCTGTATAAACATTCAAGAAGCTCAACAAACTCAAAGAGGAGGCACACCACGACACATTCATGGTTCAATTTTCAATGTTCAATTTTCTAAACACAAAGAGCCTCTTAAAGGAGAAGAGAGAGAGAGACAATTCATTATATAACCGTATCCTCAATAAGATTATCAGTAGATATCTCATCAGAAACTTTGGAGGCCAGAAGTAAGCTGATACGTCCTGAAGTACTAAAAGAAAACTAAAGTGACAAACAAGAATCCTCTGACAACATTATCTTTCAAAAGGGAGGGAGAAATTAAGACTTTTACAAACAAAAGGGAGGCTGTTTTCACTGTATTTACTACTTCCCAAGAAATTCTCAAGGAACTTCAGGGTGAAATAAAAGAAAATGACAGTACCTCAAGCCATAAAAAGAATTAAAAATCTCAAAACGACACAGGTGATAGTAATAGTGGTTTGTAACTCTATTTTTTGGTTCTCCACATGGCTTAAGAAACTCTTACATTTTAAACAACTATTAATCTAAAACCTAGAATTACTGGAACTTTAATTTATAATATGAAACTTTGTTTTCTACATAATTTGAGACCAATGCATTTAAAAGAATTACTAGTTTATGTTTGAGGCATGAGCTACATACACATGCAATTTAGTAATAACTGAAAACAGGTGAGAATAGTCGTAAAGGGTCTATGTTTGCAGGCTGTTTATGTTACACTGGCATAAATTAGAGTAACACTTCTACAGTAGTAAATGTAATCCCCATGGTAACTACAAAAAAATTAGCTATAGAATATATACAAAAGAAAATGAGAAAGAAATTTAAACATGACACTACCCAAAAAGTCAACTAAACAAGAGATAGGAAGCAAGGACAAAAAAGCCGTTACACAGAAAACAAACAGCAGAAGAACAAAACAAGTCCCTCCTTACCAGTAACTACTTAAATGGAAGTGAATTAAACTTCCCAGTCAAGACCGATTGGCAAAATAAGTAAAAACATTGGATCCAGCTATATGCTATACTCACTTTAGATTCAAAGATAAAAACAGACTGAAAAATAAAAGAATGAAATGCCTTTTAAATAGTAAACAAAGGAGTGAGAGTGGCCCTGCCAATGCTGAACAAAAAAAAAAACTTTAAATCAAAAAAGGTTACAAGAAACTAACATTATATGATAAAAAGCTCAATACAGTGAAACGTAACAATTACAAACATTTCTGCACATGACAGATCATCAAAATATATGAAACAAAATACAAGAGAATTAAAGGAGAAAACAAATCCTACTTTAGCAATGAATACAGAACCAGACCAAAGATAAATGAGAACTGGACACGTAAACTAAGATGTAGCAGACATACACAAAACACTCGCACACAAAAACTCCAAACTCAAAACTAACAAAGTGGATATAATACAGACAACAGCAGAGACAAATGAACAGAGAATGGAAACACAATAGAGCAATGAAACAAAACTTGCTCCTTCTGTTTCTGGTGGTGTTTATCAGGGATTGAACCCAGGTCCTCAAACACACTAAGCAAAAATCTACCACTGAGCAATATCCCCATCCCTTTTCATTTTATTGTGAGACACGGTCTTGCTAAAGTGCCTAGGCTGGCCTTGAACTTGTGATCCTTCTGCCTCAGCCTCCAAAATAGCTGGGATTACAGGTGTATACCGCCATGCCCTGCAAAAAAATGTTGTTTTTTTTTTCCTCCTGGCATACTGCTGCAGTTTAGTTCTTGTTCTTGTAAGTCACTGGCTTTGTCTAGAGAGCCAAACCCAAAGTTTGTCTTGCTGTTGGTTTTCTCAGGTTAGGGACAGTGTTATCCCAAGATGTAGTTTAAAATCCTCTTCCTGTTCCACCCATATTATGAAGTATGCTTCTGTCTCTAAAAGGTCATTTTCCTAATCGTTTTTCGTTCCTGAGTTTGAAAGTCACTCTCCATTATTATTATTACTGTTCTTGTTTTGGCAAGCAGTGTACCACTGAGCTTCACTCCCAGCTCACAATCCTCCATGTTTATCTTCTATTTTCTTTAAAGCATTCTCTGTTGCTCATATGCTTTTACTTCCTCTAGTTTAAATCTCAGCAATTTTCCTTTATTTCTAAGTTTTTCTCAAAGTTGTCACATTTTGATTATTGTAATTATTTCACATCTTTTATCAATTTCTAAGCTTCTTACAATCCAATTTTAAGTGCTAGGTCATGTCTTTTACACATTTTCTGGGCATGCCCTTTTGTGTGCTTTCACCGTCTTATGAGGTTATTTTGTTCTTTGTCCTATGTTTTTGTAACCCAGTGTGACTCTAACTTTGGTTTTTATGTGAATGGACTTTTCTGAAATTTTATCAGGTGTGGTTCTGGACCTTTCTAGCTTTACAGGGATCTTTTTTTTTTAAATAGTGTTGAATAATATCGTAGCTTGCTTCCTGAGATTTCCCTGGAATATTTTAAGTAACTGATGTGATAATACAAAGATGAGTAAGATGATATTCAGGGAAGATGAAACTCCAACATAAAAAACAAATCTTTTTAGCCAAAGAACAAATTTCATGTTCTAAGAAGCCCTATGCAAATAAAATGTACCTTCCAAAAACCAAGAAAACAGCCCTTTGAGAAAAATGTGTGTGTGTGCATGCACATCATCTAATAAGAGTTTTCTTAAGGAAAATTAATAACCAGTTTTGCCTTGAATAATTGAGTCCAACGTGTAATGAAACAGGACATAAAATATAATGCTGTTTTACGTTGGAAGAGAAAAGCTGCAATGCAAATTTTATGATGTAAAATACTCTCTAAATGTAATGGTAAATGGATTTTCACCCAAGCCAGTACATCCCTTATATCACTTCATCTCAAAAACTGAAATCTTTCATTACAGTTTGGTGTGATTTAAAAAACACAGCAAAACATTCCACACAACATGCTGTTTTAGTTATTCTTTATAAAAATGTATGAAAGATAAAGAAAGATGCAGACTATCACGATACATGTACCAGGGTCAAATGCCATTTCAATTATAAACCTTTCTTTCTCACAAAAGCCACTCTGATGATATTCTTAACGGAGGCAGGGGCTAATTTCAACTTTTAAAAGGACAATGATTGCAGGTGATTGAAACAGTGCATTTAAAAGACCACCAACATACAGTGTTATCAAAAACAGAAATAAAATGTATTTAAGATACAAAATATCACTCTGAAAGTTGATAAAGGATTAAGTAGCCTGCTCTTCTGTATGAATGTATACCATGGTAACCAAACAGCCATAGTAGAACAAGGTTCTACACAAAAGAATTCCAGCATGTAGATGCAAAGGTAATAATAAATCTGGGGGAAAATCACCATTTTGCAGTTCTGTGTGAAATAACTGACTGAGGCAAGCACATTAATGCGGGGATTTTACACTAAATACAAAGGTTGTGGGGAACTTTCTAATGAAAGTGTCAGGCTTCTCTACCAATGCCCAATAATCAAGCTGAGCATCATTAAAAGTGAGACAACCAGGGCAGGGGATATAGCTCAGCAGCATAAGTGCCTGCCTGGCAAGCACAAGTTCCTGAGTTCAATTCCTGGTACCAAAGAAAAAAACATCACATTAAAAGTGAGACAACCAGAATTATATACCACTTGACCTAGTGTAATAGAAAATGTACCATACTACTAACCAGTTTTCTTCTAAAAAAATAAAACCGAAGCTAATTGATCGCTCTAGACCTGACCTTTAAGGTAAGGAATCAATAAACGATGAACAAGCTTAACAAGAAAGCAACTGACTAAATTCTGTGAGATACTACGTGCAACTCACATGACTCCTACAAATGGTCATAGTCCACTGGGTTGGGGGAGTAGAGAGGGAACTACATTAGATTTTAGGATACTTAAAGAGAAAAAAAAACAACAAAATACATATACTATGCAGACACAGTTTACATCATGGTTTAAATAAACCAAACATATGTTCTTCATTTGGGAGATAATTAAGACAATTTAAAATGTAAGGGATACTAGATATTAAGAAATTAGTAACTGTTAAATGAGACACTGACATTATGAAATGTTCATTTTTTATAAATTCTCCAGTATTTAGATTAAAATTACCTCACAACTGAGATGTGTTTTAAGACATTCCCACCAGCTTGAACCACACTGGTGGCACATCCACGACTGTCCCACTGGGTGGTTTGTATTACTGGAGGTACAGTGGTATGATCCTGCACGGGACACTCACACATGTACCACCAGCGGTTTAAGCCCCTTAGTAACAAGGCACACGAAATACGGCCCCATCATGAACATGTTAAACAAAAGAAAAAGAAAAGAACTATAGCAAAATTTAATGGTAAATGAAGCTGGATTACAGAACTGTGTAAGTTAATACATTCTCTATTCCAGGGGATACCGAAAACCTTTTGTAAGCATAATAAATCACCCTTTGGAAAAGTATTCAATACATATACTAGACAAAATTTATTATCAAGAAGTTTTATTGGTAGGTTTTTAAAAAGAATTGGTTTTAGAACATTGAAGGATGACAATTCAAGACAGGATATATACAAAGATAATTAAAATATTAAATATTATCTAAATTAAAAGACCATAATTCAAACTACTAATTATAATCACTGTGCCTTGGTACAAGCAGCTGTAGTTCTTCATGAAATTCACCCCCTTCTCACAAAGACTATGAAGCCTCCCCGCAAGTTCAATCATTTAATTTATGGTCATTAATGCTGGTTTTTGTGTGTCAGCATGCACGATTACAGAAACAAAATCCAGTCTACAGGGATTTTTAATTTTCCTTGAAATGTATCTCAAGCATCTCTTAAAATGCAAGCTAGAAACAGGCTGTATCCTTAAAGAAAACAGCTTTGTACGAGAAGCTAGCAAACACTGCCATGAGTGGTTATACAACTAACCGAAGGAAACTGGCAATACTCAGTGATCTGCTTTCAGTGGAGCAACCTCCTCCTTGGCAGTTGAGTTCTTAGTTCCTGATACACTACCAGCCGAACATGTATTCCATTGCTTTGGATACAAGACTTTCATCTTTTTTTGGCGTTTGTCTGTCAGAAATAACCTATTAGAAAACACAAACACACATAAGTTACATTATGGTTCCTTCAGCGATAGTCAATTCTATAATTAATGGCCAATTTACAAGTGAAACACTAAAATACTAAAACACATTTATGGCATTAAATTATACACTTTATAGATTAAAACATGAACTTGTAATATCCTAATGCTTTTAAGAATGGTAAAATCTCGTTTTTTTAACAAAGTAAAACATCTGTTCGTTAAATGAGAAAACTGAAAAATAATACAAAATTTGCAAGAAATGGGGAATTTAAAACATAGGTTTAAGGAAACAAGGGAAAATAAGTAATACAATGATCTCCAAATTTTAGGGAAAACAAAAACTACAGAGTCCTTACTTGCCCTACTAGAGCACAAGTATTTTATGTGCTTTGTTTTGGGCCTTTGTTTGCAGCTGACAAAGTTGAAAACTCTTGGAAAATTAGGAAGAGACAACAATATATTAAATCAGAGTCAAAATTCTTCTACCATTCTTCCAAAAATACAATGAGCTTTTCAAAACTATTGTGAAGTGAGAAGTTTTCCACCTATTAAAATAAAGGCTAGCAAATGTCTTCTTTGATAACCAAGACTACTCCAACCTAAGGTTGTCCACTTGTGATGCCATCAGTTTTAGTCATCAAGTGAATTGGGTTTAAAGTTGCATCACGCCAGCAGTTTTTACAGAAGACATTTTCTATGTATAAAAATAAGGTAAGGCAATAAACTTTTGAAACGTTTTAAGAAATGGCAAAGAAAAACAAATGTATGTATGGTGCTAGAGATCCAGACCAGACACTACACATGCCGGGCAAGGGCTCTACCACTAAGCTATAGCAACCCCCCTTCCACTCCTGGTGTTTTAAAAATTCAAGACAACTTTCTAATTAGGCAAGATTCTACCTTTATATAGAAAACTCAAGAAGGGTAAAGGTTTCATCAAAGCAATCAACACAGCAGGAAATACTGAGTGGTACGGAGATCAATCCAATAGAACAGTTAAACACACCATGCTCTTAGCCTTTCACTACATCTTTTTGAGCCAACCCTTAAAATACCTGGTAGTCACTAGTAGAAGCTTTGTATGCTGTAGCAAGAGGCCTCATAGTAGAAATCCTAAGAGTACTTCCAGGTTGCGTTGGTGTGCCTACGGTTTTGACTGGTGGTGTAAAAGCTAGAGATGAAGATGACGAAGCACCTCTGTCACTGTTTTCCATAACACTCTGGAGAAACAAAGGAACAATTCCTTTTATTATAAATCTAATACCTATTATCCAATATTACATAATACTTCCAAAAACATTTATTAAGAGAGGCAATTTTTTTTACCTTTCAAACACATTTGAGATCTAATGGTCCATCAAAAATTTTAATTCAGTTTTGTCAAACACCCTCAACACAACTATAAACCACAAGGATAAGAATCTTCTAAAAAACACTATGAAAAATTAGCAAGGACAAAACAAGAGAATTGTTAGGGAAAACTGGACAGGAAGCTAGAAACAAAGTCCAAATCTATTTAGTACCCAGTAACCTAAGACAGTCCTCTAGCTGAAGTGAGTATCTGTTATACAACAACACAATTACTCAACTGCATGGCTACGGTAAATTGTAAGAACAGCAACATATCTATTCTGCTCCTAATGTGACTTACCAGCACCAAACAAAATGCCTAGTATGTAGTACAAGTCTTACTTACAGTATGTTCGTAACAATTCTATAAGCCACAAATTTAAATTATACTCAATTTTGTTTAATAAATATGGAAATACAAGTTTTAACATTTAGAAATAGAAATGAGTAACAAAAAGCATCAGCTACTTAAAAGTTGGCCATTAGTTACCATTCATGTGAACTAGTTCATTGTGAAAATACCATCATTCAGTTAAAGTACTTAAAGAATCTGATGGCGCTTTGTATAAGACACAGATGAGTTGTCAAAAGACCCACTCTATGGGCTGCATCTATGACAATTCTGAACAAATTACTTACACTTACTTGACCTCTTTGAAAAATGAAGGGGTTGGGATGGATTATCTCTAAAGTCCTGTAAGCATTTTTGTCTTACCACAAAAAGCAAGCATATTTTAGAAAAAGAGAATAAGAAACACAGTAAACTCAAGTGACATAAACACCAAATGTTAATACTAAAGTCTCATGTTCTTCACATAGACTAAAGTGTTTTTGTTTTATCACCAATAACTTACTTTGTCTATACATGGTTTTACACCAATCATGATGCATTCTCCAAATATTCTCCCATCTTTGCTTAATGCTTTCCGGGCCTGCAGTTTAGATTGATAACGAATATGCATCCAATTTCCTGTGTTAGACATCTGCAAAAAATGAAGTTGTCTCTTAAGATAAAAAATATATAAAAACGACACTTAATGAACTCTATTACAAAACAAAGACGTGTGAGGATGAATTTACACTTTCATTTTTTATTCGATGCCCAGTAAAAAAGTATATATTAGAATTCAACAAAACTCTTATAGAAACAGAGTTTCAGTAATCTCTATTCAGTTCTTAATTCTCCAAAATAGAGTACATATGTGGCAAATATTCTCTGAAAGCAAAGTAATTCTCAAAACAACTGTTTCCTATGAAAAGGTCACATCAACACTTGGTATGAAATGTTTTAAAACTTTATTCATCAATATGATTTTGTGAAGCTAGCCTTGTAATAGTGAAAAAAGAACTGGTGGTATAACTTCTGCAAAGTCCAATCATTTTTTTAAAGCTTTATATAAGACGAAGAACTCTAAAAATTCTATAGTCAGGAGCTTCCTTTTTCCTTCACTGCCAATAAAGCAAGAACAAATTGAAAAACAGTAAAATAATATTTAGCACAATCTATCTTTTTTAAGAGACTAAACCACTTAAAAAAGGAAGGGTGGATCCTGAAATTTTCACTCTTCCTATCTTCTATTTTTAATCCACTCTATCAGACATTATGCAACTTTGAGCCTTTCAGACTCCAAAGGACATTATCTTTGAAAATTTTTTTTAAAAATTGAAGTTTATAAAAAGACAAAATTCAGAAGCAGTTTCCTTTGATTCACAGCTTTTTGTTAGCCAAAATTCTGAATGGATAAAAAAGCAAACCTTACCACATGCTTTAAGATATTTCCATACTGTGCAAATTGTAATAATATATAGGAAGCAGATGCTTGCGGAAACCTGAAAAAAGAGTTGTCCAGACAAAACAGTCACCTTCTACCATCAATGACAAATGCATAAATTACTCTCCCCCCAAGCACCTAGAACATTAGTAAGAGACCTCTAATAATCTTCTTTTCTCCTGAATAGGCTAACTTCATCAAGGAACAGTCACTCAAAAGAAAAATAGCCGAGTGTTGACTCAGCTATACTCTACCGCCAGATTCTATTTCTGAAATCTCTAAAATTCCCATTTTTATAGCCATGATTAAAACTCTTCAAATATAACTATAAAGATGCAGTTCTGTAATTTATTTTCTGTGCTTTGTAGTATGTGTATGCTTTTATATGTAGCTAGATACATTAAGATTATCAGGAGGAAATTTTAAAATACAGACACATCATTCTGCCTTGATCCCTCTAACAAAATTCTAAAGTGTAGGCTTCAAACAAAAATAAAATTTAGCACTAATATTAATGGTATAAAATAATTTAGAAGGATAGCAATCAAAACTTAATAGCCATATCTTCAAATGGAAAACTGAAAATGCTTTTTACTTTTTTCTTTATAAAGTGCTGTGCGGTTTGACTATTGCACAATGACAATGTTATTACTTTATAGTCCAAACAATAAAGCTACTTTCCATTCTAAAACCAGTATTTATCAGAGGTATGAAAATACATATATCTGGAAGTTCTTTACTAACTTGGTTAATTTGGTTCTTCAGGCCCCATAGAAAAAACCTGAGTTGTGGGGGATTAAACATGTTAAAATATCTCTAGATATGACATTTTTAACCCCAAGGAAAGACAAGTAAAACAGGGTGCCTATCGAGCACAAAAACACAGGAAAAAAAAGAAAATGGCTGTAAGTAAGCGTGGTAGACAAGAAATAAAACCTAACTCTAAGACTCTAGGACCACTCTGAATAGAAAGTAATATTCCAATACTCTTAAAAAGAATCATCCAAAATAATGAATGATATTTCATAGTAAACTATGAAAAAGGAACATATAACACATTTTAGAGGTATTTCGCTATAAATAATCAAAATAAAATGTTTGATGCCTAAAGGAGAATGCTTCAATCTCATACAGAGGGTGACTAAAACATAAAATTTACACAATAAGGAGGCACTAGGAGTGTTTGTCTTACGTGAAGAGGGGTGGCTAAAATAATTTAATTACTGGGAATCATAAAAGTGACACCATTACTATTGAACCTGAAACATAATTAGGAACTGTGAAGGTTTACATCTAGATGCCCCCGCAAAAGCTTCACGTACTCACAGGCAGGGCTTTTTGCAAAGTGACCGAATCATGTGAGCACTACAGCTGACTTGCCAGTAGGTGGTGAGGCCAGGTCAGGAGGAGCAAGTCACTGAGGGTTCATCTCCTGCCCTGGCTCCTCCCTTGACTCTGTGCCTCCTGTCCACCACGCTGTGAGCAGCTCTGTTACGCCACTCTGCCATGCCATCCTGCCTCGGTGCCAGCTAACCATGGGCTGAAACATATGCCAAAATAAAGGTCTCCTTCCTTAAGTTATGGGTGTTGGGTATTTTCTCTCAGGAGGAGAAAGGAACTAAGACTAGAATAGACGGGGCTGGGGACTTAGCTCAGCGGCAAAAGCGCCTGCCTGGCAAGCGCAAGGTCGTGAGTTCGGTTCCCGGTACCGGAGAAAAACCAAAAAAAAAAAAAAAGACTAGAATAGACATCTATGTTCAAAACCAGTCATCCATTTCATAAAAACATAAAATTTTAGACAATAAAGAAAAACAGAAACAGCCCGAATGTTATGCCAATGGCTGAGCACTGGCTCTTGTGGAGAACACGGGAATGCAATGATCCCGCTCCTAATGAAAACAGAGTCAGTAACACATAGAATCTAGCAATCAGTATCTTGAAAAGAAAAATGGTAGCTGGAGACAGCAGTAGTATGGAAGACTCTTCACCGTAGATTCTTATACTATGTGTTTTAATTTTTAAAACATAAAATCCTCTAAACATTGCTCAAAGAATTCATGTATTATCATTTTTTACCCCCAAAATAAATATAGTAAAGATCCAGTATGAGTATGGCAAATATGCACTTTGAGAAATAAACTTTACACAGTGTACTATCAATATCAGCCTGAAAAAAAATCAAAAAAGGCCTGAGTTCTGCTGAAGCTTTCCTGTTAACTAGATGTGAACAGCTATTTTATCCATTTTATCTGTCTACACCTCAGTTTCCTCCTCTGTAAAATAAACAACTATACACTATGATCTCTAAGGTGCTTTAAAGTATTTTGGGGATGTAAAAATGTACTCACTATGCATCTAGGACTGCCCTCCTCTGTTTCTAACATTCAACCTTCTGTGACTAGAATGCATAAACCAGTAGGTGATACACGGTGTGCATATGAACAAAGTTCAATTTTGCTAGCTCAAAACTTGTTAAGTCTTCCAGACACTGAGAAATGACCATTATAAAGTGGGAAAGGAGCTCTCTAAGGGAGAAATTCTGCTCAAACAGCCAGTAAATTCGCTTAAGAGGAAATAATTTGGGAAGAGACCCACAGACAAATGATTTGAGAAAACCATGGAACTCCAGTTAATAATGCGTGTTGAAGTGTCAGAGTGGCATGGACCGATGACTACAACTTACTATGAAACATACCAACGACAACCAAAAATAAATGGGTGGATGACAGATAAAGCAAATGTAGCAAACTGTTAACATCAAGGTAGTGGGTATATGGGCCTTACTGTGCAATTCTTTCCAGTCTTCTGAACTGCCTGATAATATAGTACTCATTATCAAATGTTGGCGTAGAGGTATCTGTTTTTAAAAGGTCAAAACCTTACCCAAATACAGTCACCCAAGTGTCATCGAGGTGATCTTCTGAGGTCAGAGAATCTCCTTGAGTATAGAAAGGATCCAACTGGGCAGGTGATAGTGTTGTCTTTCTTGGTTGACCAATATTTGCTGGACTAAACACACTTTGCCCTATATTAGTATATTTAGTAAGTTAATTACCAATATAAACTTTGAGTCATTTTAAAGTAAAGATTCTAGTTTATGAAATACAATTAATGAAAAGCTTTATTCATGAAAATGTTTGCCATTATATAAGTAATTCAAAACATGAAACTGTAGGCTGGGTGTGATGGCACACACCTGTAGTCCCAGCACTTAGGAAACTGTGACAGGAGGTTTGCCATGAGTTCAAGGCAAGCCTGGGAGGCTACACAATGAGTTCAGGGTCAGCCTGAACTACACAGGGAGACACTGTCTCAAAAAAACAAAACAAGAGGCTGGGGATTTAGCTCAGCGGCACAGCACCTGCCTGGCAAGCCCAAGGTCGTGAGTTCGATTCCCAGTACCGGGGGAAAAAAAAAAAACCCAAGGGAAAAAAAAAAAAACAAAGCAAAACAAAACTGTATAACAATTTTATAACCATACAATAAGATAAGGTCATTAACAATTAGACATAGTTCATGATTTTGTAAATGTTTTATTATCTATTATAAATTGCCAATTATCTCATTAATTTTATTAAGTCTACCAGAAAAATTCCTTAGGACTCTGAAGGACTGAAGGATTCCTGTTGGATTCACCTTCCCTATGTACCATTTTTTAATCACAGTGCCTCTGCCTTAAAAATATTTTAAAATTTCATCCACAGAACAAAATCCAAATACTTTACTCTCCAAACGTATTCCCACTGTGCCTCTCAAAGACACCCGCCCTGTCAGGAGAGTAGTTTCACAGCATTCAGGCCATCTCCATCGAAAACGTCTTACTCTGCTGCTCTTACCATTCAGTAACGACACCCCTTCCTGAGCGTCCCCGTGTCCAACCTGCCACGCCAAACCCTTCTATATTCGTTTTAACTCAGAGGTCCTGTCCAATCAAGACTATACATTTCTAGGAAGCAAAGACTACTTTTTCTTCATTTTTATAGCAGTAATAATTCATTCAAATATTTTTTCAGGCCTTCACTTTAGGTACTGAAGATACAGTAAGCAAGTTATATAAAAAATAAATAAAACAAAAGCATCCCAAACGGAGCCTAAACTCCAAAAGATAGACAGGTAAATACCTAGCATGTTAGGAAACAAAATCTTAGAGGTAAAACAAGCAAAAGAGACAAGCATTAAGTCTACAGAAGGGCTAAATGGAAAAAGACTTCACAGCGGTGACACGATAGGAAAGATCGAAAGGAGGTGAGGAGCCAGACGCACCGAGCCCTGCAAAACGAACACCACGTGAGAAGGCGGCACGCGCGAAAGGCACTGAGAACGGCCCGGCGGGCGCGCGGTGAGGAGCAGGAGGCACCACTCGCACAGCGAGCCAGCCGGTTGGGTTGGGGCAAATACTTGAGAGTAGAGGCAACAACACGTCCAATTATGAAGGAAGAGCTTTTAAGCAATGTCAGAAATTTGGCTTTTACCTCAAGGGAGGTGGGAAACCATTGAAAAGCTCTGAGCACAAGTGCAGCCAGCACAACGTTCTGAAGTAAGAGGGCAGCGTCACGTGCTTGTTACCACATCATTAACTACAGGCATAATTGTATTTAATTCCAACAGTCCTGTACCACGGGTCCCACTATAGCTCCATGTAAGACATCAGGAAACAGGGTACATTAAATAAGACAAGTGGAGGCATGAGTCCCTAGGCCGCAATCTAGTTAAACCAGTACTTGCACTTACTAGACCCTTGACTACCTGAAGGCAAAATTATTTTTATAACAATATAAAATGTCTTTTTCACTTTCTTTATGAGCATACAATGGACTTTGCCAGAGGCTACAAAATGTGGTCCAATATTTCAGGCTGAATTACAGAATCAAGATACTTAACAACTCACTTGTACTTTATTAAAATATACGTAACGATCTGCAAAACATAAACCTATGACACTGTTATCATGAAAAATTTTTGCCTTAGAAAAATTTATTTTTCACTTCAGAAAAGACTATTTGTTCATTTGGAAAAAAACTATACTTTTTAATGAACATATATTTTAAATTTTGTCTTAGCTTTGATGATACAAGGACTTTTTATCTTTATTAGCATGGCACATGCCACATCTTGATCATTTTTAATCCCCTTTCCATCTTTCCCTAGATCCCCTTCCCAACTCCACAGAATCTATCTCCTTGTTTCCGACTTCTCCCTTTTATTTTGCTCATTTAAATTATTCAGAGTTTGGGTTTTTCATATTAGAAAATTAATTATTTTATTAATTATTAGAAAATTAACTATTTTATTATTAGAAAATTATTTTATTATTTAAAAATTGTTTTATTTTTCATATTAGAAAATTATTATTTTATCATTAATTAATATTTTAACCAGAAAAGTTATCATCAGGTACCTAAGAGCACACCTTAACCAACAGCCCAGTAACTTCTGGTCCCTGGCCATCCCGTTCATGTCTATCATGCAGTAAACTACCCCTGATCCTCATGCTGATGGAAATCCATGATGAGCTCTTCGTTGAATGACAGCCCCAGCTGCAGTCACAGGTGGGCCCCACAACCAGACCACAATGCTAGATGGTGTCGGCCTGAGAACTATCACACAAGCCTGAGCTGACACACAGCCCTTTTCCTCTAAGAAATCTGTACAGCACTAAACCAAAGGAAAACCAAATTTCAATGGTTTCTTTTCTTTGAGGGAAGCAAACGTTTTTTCACACTCCTTAAAATCCATTAAAGGGTAAACACACAATATCAACAGAAACAATAAATCTCATTTTTTGCCAAAATACTGAGATGGATGGCTTTGAAATCGTTTGTCTCCTTACCCACGGATAAAACTGACTCCCCCTCTGGCAGGAGGGCAACAGTATCCTCCTCGCTGGTACTCATGCTGTGTGCACAGCAGGAGACCTGTAACCGACAGTGCACCTCAGGACAGGAGGGGCACCAGCCATGGCTGAAGCTGCGTTTTCTGCAGATCAGCAAGTGCTCTGGGGCCTCTTGCAGCCCTGGCTCTCCGATTTTAGTTTCTAATGCAGTGAACACAGAAAGCTATAATCCCCATAAGCACAAGTTCTTTGTTCTTCAACTTTAGAGATTGTAAAGAATCTCTAAAAATTAAGAAGTTTGAAAAAACGTATTCTAAAGAGCCATATATGTGATTCACAGTCCCTTTTTGTGGATTTTCTGCCCACTCCTTGCTCAACACATTCTAAAAATAAGATATAGCTGCTGCTTTGGCCTCTATCCTGAATTCCCAGTTGAACTGAAAAACCATTCCAACTTTGATCTTAAATCATTCCAAAGTATTTACAGTCAAATGGATTTTTAGATTATACACTTAACTTTACACTTTATATTATACACTTAACAAAAAGATTCTCTGCAAGTTCTTAAGAAATTGCCCTCCCAAAGCCTCTGTGGTAAAAGTTTTATTAAAAATCTGTACACTATCCTGATCTCAGATTTATGATGTACATTAACGTATTAAAAATTCACAAGGGTTTTTCAATAAGGAAGTCCTGATATCTTTATAACCTTACTCAACTCAAAATTTCCTGTATTACTTGACCAGTTTATCCTTATAAAACAAATATGATGGAATCTTGACATTATGTCAAGTACCTCTTACATGCCTTATAACAGTGATGGCACCTTTTTAGTGACACATGCCCAAACTCCAACCCAAAACCCACTTATGGCGAACCTTTTAGTGACACATGCCCAAATTTCAACCCAAAACCCACTTATTCATTGCGAAGTGCCAACACTGCAATTAAAACCTGAATACTGAGGTTTTAGTTTAGAAAAAAACAATTATCATTTGTCTCAAAAGAAAAACACAGAATAGAGCTTTCAATGATACAGAAGTTTTTTAATGAAAGGTAGACGTTTGCATTTGGCATGCTTTTGTACATTTAATGTGACCTTTGCTGCCGTATGTACGCTGATTTGTTACACCTCGGTGGGACGACCTGGCTCTCATGCTGACAGAGACGGCTCTGCATGCCTGCTGCGGCACATGAGCCATAGGTTCCCCACCACTCCCTTGTAACATCTGACACAAGGATTTACCGGAGCCAAACCTGCTAAAAAGTAAGTAAGGCCACTACTCAAACCCGAAACTGAGATACAGAAAGGGTTAGTATTCATGAGTATTGGATGATTCATGAGAATTGAATGAGTTCCTCGGAGCCATATGAAAAGTGAAACAAGTAATATTCAAAGGCCAGAAATACGACACTTCATTCACAAACAAGAACTTCTCAGTTATTCTTAAGATTACAAAACTCCAACAGCCAAAATAAATTTAAAAAGAAAAAAGCCTGAACAGTCCCCCCAAATTTATCACATTCCAAGTGCTACTGAGTTACAAAGAATATGAAAATATCTTTAATGTGTAGAGGGGTGGAAGTTTATCTTGCTTTCTGAAAGATAAAACTGGATTGTACTGGTTAACAGAATCTGGCATTAGTAGCTTTCAGCCAACCCCTGACGTCAACACAAAGCATCATTTAGCAAGAAGAGAGTAAATTTTGAAATTTTATTGCTTAATTGTTGGAAGAAGACCAATGTATTGAGTCTCTTCCCAAATATTACAACATAATTTACAATGTGAATCTCTTACTTCCCAACAGTGCCAAGACAAAGCCACAGTCTTGACAGAATCAAAAGTTAAAGTTACCACATAAAAACTACAATGCAACAATGTCATTCTAAGCGAAGGAAAAAAACTCATCACCTAAGTACTTCAAGGCAGGTGTGGAGGTTCACGCCTGTAATCCCAGCACTCGGGAGGCAGAAGCAGGAGGATCACTGTGAGTCCGTGGTCAGCCTGGCCTACATAGTGAGTTCAAAGTCAGCCTGAACTGCATAGTGAGACCCTGTCTCCAAAAAAAAAAAAAAAAGGCACAAAAACAAAACAAGAAGTCACTTATAACAACCATTCTTAATTTCCTATCATCTTTTGAAATTCTGTCTCGTTTTTGTTTTTATTTGCTTTAAAATAAAAAAAAATTAA